ATATATATAAATTGCTTCCTTTATTCAGTCATGCATTTAAAATAAAGTATGTATATGAATTGTGCAGATGATTCATTTAATCGGTAAATGAATTATTGAAAAGGGTTCCCTACAGAAGCAATATAATTTGGGCAACTATATTGCATAGTAGGTATATCAGATGCTTCCGAAAGATATCATGAGTTGATATAAGTACGGATGACGATGATAGTCATGTCACTGGGGCATTGGTATGGATTAGCGGTTGGTGAAATATTTTTCGAACGTGATCAAATAACGACAAATCACTTGGAAAAGCATGTACTCAATGATTTATTGTTTGGTTATATCAGTGCACGATGTAGTCCTTTGACCTGAGACATTGTAGTCGGATCCGATACGGATGCGTATGATTCATAAGGTGTATAAGTACGAGACTAATCATGTTTCGTATAATAAAGTCTATTTGGTCATGTGTTGTTTGTATGTGGAAACGAACGATGGTCAAGAGGGGATCCATTGACTCGAAAATATAGGATCGGGAGTACCGCTGACTCCATTTGGATTCGAGTTCCTAGACGAACGTCGATAAATGTCGGAAAAGAGAATCTCTAGCCAGAGTATATTATTAGTCATACAAAAGCAAGTTTGTGATGACGAGTTCCGGACATATTGATCGACGATTCGGTAGAAGATCAAGTTTAGGATTTTGACGTTCCATGAATCCGTGCTTGATCAGGATATTTCAATGGAGGGACTTTGCCTGCATGGTACGTATGATCTGAAATGGGTTTGATGAAGTATTTCTTCATCGTGGTTTAGGGACTATGGCACATTGCTAGATGTTTACCATAGTCGTTGGGCCTCTGAACAAGTTTTCGGATTCATCCAGAACCGGCTCACGGCTAATCCACGGTGGATCTACATGGTCACACCAATAGCCTTGAGGAGTTAGAGAACGATGAGAGACAGAAATGATTATCCGAAGAGGGCTAGCACCTTCCGAGGGTAATGACAGGATTTCTATGGTAATAGTTACATAGAAAATTGTTTGTGACATTTTAAGGGTTAAAATGGTCAAGCAATAATTAATTATATCTTAAAGCGTTAAGATTAATGAGATGAACGAAAAATAACCTTTTAATAGTTAAAGGGTAAAAGGGTAAATTTATGGTTTGTTAATGTAAACTAGTTTAGTTTACATGGGCCCTTGAATAATATTGATTATTCAAAGGGTAGCATATTAAATTCGTGGGGTCCCTTTATAAAATAAGATTTTATTGGGCTTGGAAGTGAAAAATAAATAATTGCAAAATAGCCCAAGTATATATAAGTGCAAAAGGTTGCATTTTTGTTCATTATTCACTTGTTCACTCAAACACAAACTAAAAGCTCTCTCTCCCTAGCCAAGGCCACTCTCTAATCCTCTCAAGGTGGTGTTAAAGTGTGGAGGTTTCATCCTTTTGAAGCTAATCTTCATCAATCCAAAGCAAAGGAGTAGGTATAATCTCATATCCAAGCTTTGCATGTAAACCGTTTTTTTAATCCATGCTTTCATGCTTTCATTCTCCATCTCCACCACTCTTCATGCATGCTGAATCTTTCAAATGGTATCAGAGCTAAAAGCTCCTTGCATGTCAAATTTATAAGCAAAAATGACATTTTCCAAGTGTTCTTGTGTTAATCATGTATGAAAGTGACATGCATGTTCTTGTTTTGGCCTAGTAATATGATAATGAAATGTTTATTATTTTTTCTTTGGAATCAGATTCGGCCATAACATAAAATGTATAAAGATGTTTTTAATTTTTAATTTGAAGCATGCAAGAATCATTATATGTTTAATTTATAAATATATATATTTTATGGTGACAAAAGTGTTATGCATGCCTTGATAAGTGCATAGAATATTTCTTGCTAGATTCGGCCATGCATGTTCTTTGTTCATTTGATTCTTGTTTTAATAAATAAGTTTGTAATGTGTTTTGGAAGTTGTTCCATAAAGGGTCGAAATGTATGCTTGGATGATGGTTGTTGCATGATGATTTATTTAGAAAAATGTTCATGCATGTTCATTTCCATGACTTTGATTAAATGATTTATGCTTTGACATGCTAAAAGTGTTATCCTTTAATTTGATTAAAGTATATTTTTGCATGAAGTGTATGCAAATGTTGCAAGTGTTTAGTGGTGGAATTTGATGTTAGCATAAAGTTATGGATTATTCATTCATATGATGAATTATGATATTATATATGATTGTGGTAAATTTAATGTAGGATGTTTAATTTGATTAAATTATCTTATAATGCATCATTGCATGGCATAAATTATTATATTTTTGAAATGTAATAATTTGGTTGTTTGAATGGTTTCAAAAATGATGATGCAAGATGGCATGATTGTCTTTGAAAAGATAAATATGTCATAAAAAGTATTACTTTAGTTAAAAGTAACTTGTGTCATAGAATGATTACTCTTGGAGTAATAAAACCCACTTATCTATGCCATGCATGACTTTTGTGAAAAGTATTGAAATGATGCTAACAATTAAATAGTATATCTTTGGGTGGAATATGACAAAAGTGTTTGTGTAATGATTCCTATAAAATGTGTAATTGTTGCATGGCCCAAAGTTATAATTAAATTACCACATGAATATATATATAATATCTATTAATATATGAGATATATTTATATATTTATATTCATGCCTTTAAATAATTGTTTATTATATTTGGTATGAATGTTTAATATTTATTTATGTGATGAATGAATATTAGATTAGAGGGTTGATCATGGGCGCCATTTGGTTTTCAAAATATTCAAAAGTATTTGTAATATTCTTTTATTAAATGGCTTGTAATAATTAAATTTTATTTATTTATTTTAATCGGGCCTGCGTGCCTAAGATCCAATATGTAATGGAATCGGCTAGACGAGAACCGAAGAGCATCCGGATGACGATCCAATCGAAGATATAGTATTAGGGTAAATAGTTTGCCTTTAGGATGTATTTTCGAAAAGCCCCATGGTCAACCCACATGCTTTAATTTATGCATATATGTGATATGTATGAATTGTTAATTAAACATGGCATGCTAAAATGAATTAACTAAAGGTTAAACCTAAATCTCCCCAATTTAAAATTATTAAATCCAAGTCTCCCATTGTGGGATAACTAAATTCTTTGATATAAATTTTAATATCCCAAGATTTCTATTATGTGAGGGATACAATCTTTATATCATAGAATTAAGTTGATCTTGTTCTTGGATGGATATTTTCACCTTGACCAAGAATTCTATTATGTGAGGACATGATGAAAATGCCATCCTAAGAAAGCACAATGGTTCGGATTTAACTAGCCTAGGGTACCAAGAATTCTATTATGTGAGGTATCCGAAGCTAGGACAAGGAATATGAATCAAACCTTATATAGTGATATAAAAGGAAAAGAGTTTCCTACTTATTAGACTTAATTAACCAAGAATTCTATTATGTGAGGTTAATTGAATTTGATAAGAAATTGATTCCCCACTAAGAAATTTAATCCAACGAAAATTTCCGGATCCTATTTAAGGGAGTGTAGGACTCGAATAAAATAGTGGGAGCTAATTTGATTATGCATTAAAAGGTTTAAAAGATTACAAGACACTAATAAAATTACTTTTCTTTGCAGTTTCATCTTTGTGATAAATAATCGAAAAATGGCCAACAATGTTCTCCTAAGGATAATGGATAATAATATGTTAACTGGACCCAACCTACAAGGAAAGACTAAGTTTGGAATTACTGATAATATGGTCGGAGGTGTTTAGCATTCCAAGCTCGGGGTACTTCGGAACCATTCAGCCTTTTGAGATGATAAGTCCCTGGTCTTATCACTTTGGTAATGCGGTATGGACCTTCCCAGTTCGGTCCTAAAACTCCCGTACTTGGTTCTCTAGTACCGAGAAGAACTTCCTTCAACACAAGGTCGCTGACCCGAAAATATCTTCTCCTGACGTTAGAGTCGAAGAACCTCTTCGCGCGTTGCTGATGCGCTATTCTTAGTTGAGCCTTGCTACGATGTTCTTCAATTAGGTCTAGACTTGCGCGCATAAACATTTCATTGTCGGCTTCATTGTACAGGCCCTTCCGAAGTAAACCGGTTCCTACCTCCACAAGGATTATCGCGTCGCAGCCATATGCTAGCAAAAAAGGGGTTTCTGAGGTAGAGGTTCTCGGAGTTGTCCTGTATGCCCATAGGACTTCGAGGAGGTCATCGGCCCAATTCCTCTTGGCTGCGCCAAGCTTTGCCTTTAGAGTGTGCTTGATGGTTTTGTTGACAGCTTCAACTTGACCATTTGCTTGCGGCCTTGCGACTGAGACAAATTTTTTATGAATACCCAACTCGTCGCAAAACTGCTTGAACTCCTTGTTGTCGAATTGTTTACCATTGTCTGAGATAAGAGTATGAGGAATCCCATAGTGGCACACAATGTTCTTGAAGATGAAGTCCTTGAGTTTTCTGGTCGTGATCGCGGCTAATGGTTCTGCTTCGACCCACTTGGTGAAGTAATACACCGCGACCACGACATACTTTACTCCCCCTTTACCAACTGGCATGGGACCGATGAGATCGATTCCCCACATAGAGAATGGCCAAGGGCTGGTCATGGTTATCAGCTAGTGGGAAGGAGCTCGTGGTATGTTCGCGAACTGCTTGCACTTGTCACACCTTTTGACAAAGTTGTAAGTGTTTTATTAGATTAAGGGCCAGTAGTACCCTTGACGAACAACTTTGTTGGCAAGAGATCGTGCGGCGGTATGATTACTGCATATCCCTTCATGTATCTCTCTCATGATGTAATCTGCTTCTTCGCTATTTACACATCAGAGAGAGGGGCGTTAAACCATCGCCTGTACAGCTAGTCTCCGATGAGGGAGTAGTGAGCAGATCTTGTTCGCAGTGTCCTTGCCTCGATCTTGTCGTCAGGCAAGGTCCCATCTCTGAGGTACTGAATGATAAGGATCATCTAGGAATCTGATTTTGTTACATTCATGGGCTGTTCGATTGGGCTAATACTAAAGGTCTCAATGAATCGAACAGGAATGCTCTCCAGTGTATCTGAGTCCAATGACGAGGCTATCCTTGCCAATGCATCTACCACAAAGTTGCTATCTCTAGGAATTTGCGTGATCGTGAAGTGCTTGAATAGCTCTAGTGCGGCCTTAGCCTTTTTCAGATAGCTGATCATATTTTCTTCCTTGGCTTGGTACTCTCCCAAAATTTGGTTAACGATCAGCATGGAATCGCTGTGGATACTGATCGCGGTTGCACCCATCTCCTTAGCCAACCGCAGTCCAGCGAGCAGAGTTTCATACTCGGCCTCATTATTGGTTGCCTTGAAACTGAATTGGAGAATGCCGTGAATGCGAGCCCCTTCAAGACTAAAAAAAAGAAGACATGTCTCGACCTTCTTTCTGTTCGATGATCCATCAACGTAGAGGCTCCAGGTCGACAGATTTTGAGCAGTTTCCTGCATGACTTCACTGGCCTGTTGCTCCGACTCATTCATCGAGTGATATGAGAATTCTGATATGAAGTCGACAACAGCTTGCCCTTTGATAGTTGATTTCAGTCTGTACTTCAGATCGAATTGACTTAATTCCATGGCCCATTTAAGCAATTTACTCGACGCCTCCAGCTTTTGGAGGACTTGCCTGAGCGGGTAATTAGTCATTACATGGATTGTATGAGCGTGGAAGTAAGGTCGCAACTTCCTGGAAGCGATTAGCAGGGCATAAGCTAATCGTTCTATTTCTAAATACCACATCTTGACATCTAACAGATGTTTGCTCGCGTAATACACTGGCCATTAGATCCTATCCTCTTCTTGAATTAAGGTTGCACTGACCACGAACTGAGAGATGGACATATATAGGAGAAGGATCTCTTGCGGGAGAGGCTTGGACAAAAGGGGTGGCTTCCCAAGGTGTTCTTTAATACTCTAGAATGCCTGTTCGCATTCGGAGTCCACTCAAACTTTTTATTGGCCCTTAGAACATTGAAGAATGGCAAGCAGCGATCTGTTGCCCTCGATATGAAACGACTTAGTGTCGCTATTCGCCCATTGAGGCTCATGACCTGCTTTTTGTTGGTCGAGCTTTCCATATCGAGGAGAGCTTGTATTTTCTCGGGGTTGATCTCTATTCCCCGTTGGTAAACCATGTATCCTAGGAAGTTTCTCGAGCATACTCTGAATGAGCACTTGATGGGGTTTAGCTTCATTCTGTATTGTCGGAGGATGTCAAACATCTCAGCGAGATGCGCTATGTGATATGAAGTGACATGCAACCTGACCAGCATGTCATCTACATAGACCTCTATCGATTTTTTGCTCTGTTCGGAGAACATTCGGTTAACCAACCACTGGTAAGTTGTGCCAACGTTCTTAAGGCCGAAAGGCATAACGTTGTAGCAGTACAACCCCCAATCTGTAACAAAGGATGTATGCTCTTTGTCCGGTGCATACATCAGAATTTGATTGTATCCTGAGTACGCATCCATAAAACTCAGCAGCTCGTGCCCTGAGGTGGTATCCACAAGCTGGTTGATCCTGGGCAGGGGAAAACTATCTTTTGGGCACGCCTTGATGAGGTCGGTGAAGTCGACATAGGTTCGCCATTTGCCGTTGGGCTTCTTTACTAGAACTAGGTTGGCAACCCAGGTCAGATAGAGCGCTTCTCGGATGGATCCATTTCGAAGGAGGTTATCCACCTTAAGTTTTAAGGCAGCATATCGCTCTGGATCCATCGCTCTTCTCTTTTGGCGAACCAACTTGGCTTCACTGTCGATGTTCAATGCATGGCAAATAATATCCGGGCTAATCCTGTCCATATCCGCATGTGACCATGCGAACACATCGATATTCTCTTTGAGGAAGCTAGTTAGTTCGGTGGCGAGCTAGGGGTTAAGATTGCTCCCAATCCTTAACACTCTACTCGGCTCGCTCTGGTTGACCGATACTTCAGACAGATCCTCAACTGGCCCACTGGAAGGGCATTCCTAAATACGAGGATCCATATTATCCTCGGCTGGGCTAGGCTATGGCTTGATCCGGCTGATCGCCATTGCCTGTCAGGGAATGCCGCGCGAGATGCCTTTCCCTTTGCACGCCATCTGCACTGCTTTCACATAACAGTCACGAGATGCGTGCTGAGATCCGCTGACTTCTTCTATCCCCGTCGGGGTGGGGAACTTCATCTTCAGATGGTATATCGAAGTGACTGCCTTAAAGTTTCTCAGCAGAGGTCACCCCAGGATACCATTAAAAGCGGATGGGCAATCCACTACCAAGAATTCAGTTACTTTGGTCACTTCGTTAAAGTCACCCAGCGTGACTGGAAGCAAGATTGTTCCTTTGGGGATCAGGTGGTCCCTTGTAAAACCATATAGGGTGATCGAGGCAGGCTTCAGGTCGACGTCGTCCAAGTTCATTCTTTCGAAAGCTATCTAGAACATGATGTTCACAGCACTTCCGTTGTCCACCAACATTTTGTGGACGTTCTGGTGCCCTATTAGTGTCATCGTGGGGATGATGCAATTGAACTGCATCCTTTTCGGAGAAGGTAATTTCCTCCTCCTTGCGAACCTTTTGTGGTCGTTGTGTCGTGCTTATTACACTGATAGGATATTGATGGGCTGCGCGAGCATATCTTTCCTGGGCACCTCGCGAGTTCCCCGCGAGGTACGGTCCCCCAAAGATCAAATTGACGCTGCATATACCTTTGCGAACATGACGCTTATTTCCTGGTTCCCCTTGACTTTTCTCTTGTGTGAGAGTGGAGTCATCAATATATTCCTTGAAATGCCCCTGCTTGATGAGGTCTTCGATTGTCTGTTTGAGAGCTCGGCACTTATCGGTGTGATGCCCATTATCCCGATGAAAGTATAGTATTTTTTACTATTTCTGGCTGATGGGGGATTTTTCATGGGCTCAAGCTCTCCGAGCAGGCTAGCTTCTTCTGACTTGTCGAGAATAGCTGATACAGAAGCATTTAAAGGCGTATACTGATTTATGTCGCAATCGCGATGAGGAACGGGTGCATAAGACTTTTTGGGCTCATAGCGCTGTTTCTTTCCTTTTCGTTGATCGTCAATAGCCCATCTGCGATCAACTCTCCTACTTTCCTCTCGACCAAGCTCACTACCTGAAGTGCCGAGGTCGCAGCGATGGAGCGCTGCAACAAAATTTTCAATACGAAGGTACTTCTCCGCAAGGTTATAGAAGCAGGTGAGGGAAACATCATCCTCAGCCTATAACTCTTTCCACAGGTCAATCTGTGGGCGAACTCCTGCTATGATGAGAGTCCGAACAGACTCTTTGAGAGTGTGAGCTACCTTATTAAGCTCTTTATGGAATCGAACGATGTACGATTGGAGGGATTCATCCCTCTCTTGCCTTATATTGTTGAGGTAGCTCAAAGGCATTGAGAACTTTCGGTTTGCTTGGAAGTACCTTAGGAACGTCGTGCTCATCTGAGGCCACGAGCTGATCGACCCTGCTGGGAGCGACCTGAACCATCGTTTGGCATGAGAGGTTAGAGTTACTGCCAAACACCGGCACTTCGCCAAATTTGAAACCTGGTGAAGCTCCATCAGATCGTTGAAGTCATACAAGTGATCCTACGGATCTGAATTTCCATCGAACGCCCGTATGTCAGGCATTCTAAATCTTGATGGGAGTGGGGCGGCTAACATTGCATGAGAAAAGGGAGACACTGATGCGACCTGCCCTTGCTCATTTTGCTGAGCTCTTAGCTGGTCTAAAGCTCGCTGCAACTCCTCAATCTGGGGCAGCGGAGCTATCTAGAGATTGCTTTCGCCCATGTGAGTTCGACCCTTGCGGTTGCAATTGAGGAAAGTCCGGAGGTCGGATTCCTCTTCGCCTTAGCCGACAGTTCTGGATGCTCTCAACACACGCTGGCTAGAGCCGTGTGATGGTGATGAATGGTGCGGGGAATTTTCACGAGCTCCGTGGTGGTACGAACTGCCCCGCGGAGTGTGGGAACCTCCCACACAGCTATGATCAGGATTGCTTCTCTGGCGGCGATGAGAATCACCCCGCCAGCACTTTTATGGGGGTGCGCATGCGACATGGCATGGGACGGCTCGGGCTGTGACCTTTCACCAAGTCTTAACGCCACGGGTATTCTACTAGGGGCTTGGTTGGTGTTCGCTAGCCCTTTGGAGTTCTTAGGCCCGTTTTTCGCCACTTGCTTACATTTCCTTCGGTGCGCTGCAGTGCTCGCGGCATGGGTATTGCCCTTTGATTCAGGCTGTGACCTTTCACCAACTCTTATAATGGTGCGCTACAGTGCTCGCGGCATGGGTATTGACCTGCAAGCGCAACCGCCTCATTTGATTCGGGTGGCATGCCCCGATCCAAACGGTCAACCAAAGGCATGCCGCCGTCCAAACGGTCCAACCTTTGGTTGACCGTTTGGAGAGTATTGTTGAACCTCTCTAGGTAACTCATGATGGCAGGGTCAAGTTGTGAACTTGACGGGATATCTCCCATGACATTTTGCGGAACCGAAGGTACCTTGGGAGAGGTGTCCTGTACTTGGGAGATCTCGTCAGTACCCTGATTGGTTCGCTCAAGTTCGAATCGGTGAGCCATTTGCTGTTGTAGGACCAATTAGTTAGAGATTCTCCTGATGAAGGACGAATGCTAAATCAGACCCTCCTTTTAGCACCAAACTGTTGATGCGTGATTTTGACGCCAACCAAACGCACGTGTGAAATGCTGAGCGGGCCCAAAAGAGACACGTGAATGTGAGAATGAGAGTAAATGCAACAAAGAACGGCGTTTAAAGTGGTTCAGATGCTCAATAAAGCGAATCCTACATCCACGGATTGTATTAATAATAATGGTCAGGTCGCGTTCAGCGGACTGACTTACAAATGATTACACGAGAGAGAGAATGCTATTTTTCTTTAGAGAGATTAGCTAATCCCTAAAATGAGAGAGGAGCTCTCAATTTATAGTGGGATGGAATAAGGTTATGATTATTAAATCTATGAGTTGGTGGGATTATCCGTGCAAATCCTTCTTTATGTCCCATTGCCCATCTTCTAGAGTGATTTACGTGATTTGGTACAGGGATTCGACACTTGGAATCACTATAGCTTCTGGCAGGTCTGACGCGCACCCACTGCCCTGGCAGGAGCATGCCATCCCTGTTCTTGTATGACGTGGCTACCTCTGATTGGCTGCGAGCCTACCTAAGCTCTGACTTTTTACATTGACTGGGTCTTGCGTTAGCCCTACCTTTTTCAGGCATAACACCTTCAAATACAAGTTTTGTAGTTTAATGTACAGTGCGAAAGTTAGAAAAAGATCTTTTGGATAAATGGTAAGTGGTTTTGGTCTTACAATGGATCATTTTTACATTAAACAATTATAACAGTATCATGATGGTCAATTATTTAATCAAAACTTCCAACTTTTTGTCAAAAATTGTCAACTATTTGGTAAAAATTTCAGGCCATCGCCAATAGGAAGCCATTTAT